AGTTTAAAGTTTATTAAAAGTACAAGTCATTAGCAGGTAAGTATGCGTACACATATGTTTGTAAGTGCATACAAATCTACATACATATGTATGCTACTCTGTGCACATGCTCCTGTTCTGGTTTTGCCATTAACATAATACTAGGGATGTCAGTAGCAAAAATACATCGATCATTTGCCTGCCATCGATGCATCGATGCGTCGACTATCGAGCGGAAAATTTTCGACACATCGAAGCAAAATATCGATATATGCATCGGTGCTTTTTCGACATCCCCACATAATGCACACTTTTTAACATGTTATATATTTACGTACATGCAGTTTTACTTAATATGTACACTGCCGGAACAAAGTATTGGCACAGCAAATTTCTCACAATATATGCAACAATTTTTATTCTAATATTTTTCCACCAATTTTGTATAAAAATATGGTTCATTCAACAACAAATAACATAAAAATATAATTCCTAAACTGTGTGCAAAACTCGCGAAAATTCAGCAAATTTTCATCAAAATTTTCAACTTTTACTAACTTGCAGTTTTTTAACTAGAATTTAATGGGCTACAAATCTGCATACTCAAAAAAATTCTAAAAAGTCTAATTAAAAAGTTGAAAATTTTCATGAACATTTGCTGAATGTTCGCGAGTTTTACACAAAGTTTAGGAATTACATTTTTATGTTTTTTGTTGTAGAATGAGCCATATTTTTATACGAAATTTGCGAAAAAAAATATTAGAATGAAAATTGTTGCATATATTGTGAAAAATTTGCTGTGCCAATACTTTGTTCAGGCAGTGTATGTATGTACATATGAAGGTAGTTGTACATTTGTACATACATACATAGTATGTACGTAAGTTTATACATACATATGTAGTACATATGTATATAGCATGCATGCTGAGCTCATATTCAACTGGTTAATGATTGTGACACCCATCTCAAGATTAATCACCACGCAAGTATCAGTCATAACTTTTGTAGTTGAATTGCGGCAACAAATGCCAAGGAACTCAATTTGTGTCAACCAAATTAAAAACATCTAACAAATATTCTCACAATTTGTTTCTGGTCTTCATTATGCATTTATTCTAGCGGACTTGGTTGAGAACAGTTGTAAATACAATAGGTATGTACATATAAACGGCGGAGACCTTTGGCATTCGACAGAAATTAATTGAGCAACAAGTCGCGCTGTGCCAGCCTTTAAATCACGGTTCATTTACTAATAAAAATCACTTCGCCTGATGATGTTCGCTCCGAGATTTTTTTTACGTACATACAGATGCGAGTAGACATGCAATTAAATATTCCTTGTGCTAGCTATGACACAAACACTATATGTAAGGTAATTATTTGAATAATACAGACAACGGATTTCCTTAGAATTCATTAAAAAAAAACATTCTAAATTCACAGCCTAACAGTTTTCGCTTTTCTTTGTATTTGCTTATACGAAAGCATTATGTGTTTTTTTGCACTTCACAACTTTGAACTTCGAACGTATATACTTTTTCAATGCCACATACAATTCAAAACGTGTGTACTGTTTTACCGAAGACGCTTATTAAAAAATGAAAATAACAGCGCTCATAATATAAAGAAAAAAGCCTAGATACAAGGCAGCTTTCTAGTAACTAAATCCGTAAATCTGTTACAGATAGTCAACTATACAAATACGTAGATAAATAAATCGCAATAGAGTAGAAGCAGTATATCACACACTAAAAATAATAATAACAAAAGCAACTACGTCAACAATATTTGTAAACTTCGTATCAGATTGTCGCAGTAAATACATAAACACAACAACAATTAGGAAGCCGATTATGGAGATTATTTTTCGTCGTATCCATCGTATTCTATCATCACTAAATATTTACCAGCGTTTGGCTTTTTTGACGAAACGACGATTTAATTGAATTAATTAACCGTCACCGCGCGCAGTCGAATCGCAACTCAACAGCACCAATTTTGCTCTATTCGACTATGCTCAGATTAGTTTAGTTCACTTGACATCGAAGCGATTCGGTTCCGTTCACGACAATCAATTAATGTGGAGTATCATCGTTGTCTCTTCTCTGGTACTCGTAGTATACTAGAGAGCGAGCGCTCAATGATATTCATAAAAAACTTGCGCATTCGACTCATTTATTTAATATCACAATGAAGATGCAGAGATTGGGTAGAAATATGTATACAAAGAGGAGAAAACCTGCTCACATCGATAAAGTATATAAATGATTACGTCGGCGATCTGTTCGATTCGATGGGAATTAATGTGCTTTGGTGATTTTTTTTTTTTGACTCTTTAAGCACCGCTGGCGAGAATGAGAGGTATATGACTACCTAGGCTTTAGATGTGTAGAGTATGTACATTCGGGTGTTCAAAAAATTCTCGGAGCTAAGGTACGGCGCACCCTCCAAAATTTTCCATCTTGCCGAAATATGTGCAAATTTTACATTTCCAAACAATGGGTTAAGCAACTTAAGAAAATTTCAAATTTCAATTAGCTGAAAAAATGTTACAAACTTCAGTTGTCAAAGTAGACTTGAGACGAGGCCTCTCCAACTTCTCATCGAATGCAATGAATTTATGAATTATAAAGTTTTATTATACATATTTTAAGTTTTAGGCCTAAAACGCCGTAATAATAAATAAATAAAAAGTAGCTTTTTATAAAAAATCGTCAATATTAGGGATTCAAAAACGAATTTAACCCGGTATTGGTTAAAGTTGAAAATTGAAAGTTTTTATAGATATTACAAATACTAAAAGGAAAAAAAACTGAGGGGCTCCCCGTTTTCTTCGAAGACATTTTTCCCCTTACGAAACTTGGACCACTCTAATGTACATACAAATGTACGTGTATATGTATATATTTCAATGCTCAGTGATGTCAACAACGAATAGAACCAGTAGAATTTAAGAGTTAGGTACACAGGTATGTATATACATAAGTATCTTTAGTATATACACACATACATACGTACAAAGCTTATGTGCTTATAGTCCAGATATAAAAAAAAACACCAGGATTTTAAAATAATACACTAAAGTCTAATTAGACATTTAATAACGAAAAAAGCCTTTCAAATTATCAAATAATTTTCTGACTGAAAAGCAAGTCATCGTCTACATAGAGGAGGGCATTGACAGAGGAAGTGCCGTATTGTTTCCCCCTCTCCATCGTCTATTCAGCATCTACCCGTACGGAAGGCCTGAGGATCTAAATGCGATTTTTCTCTATATAGTATATTCACCTTCCTAGCAATGGGCTGTACGCCGAGCTTCGGAACGGCAACTTAATAAACATTAACAATGAATGGGCCAAAAATTGCGCGGGTTTTGACATGTCGCAAGCATCGATGATTACGCTTCCCCAGACGGATCGGGGAGAATGTGGTTCCGAAAAGAATACCTTTTAAAGTACTAATTTCTTCATGAGAAATTTTTGAAGTACATTTAATTTCTGTATGATAAGTTAGTAAACATCTACATACGTGGAAAAGTAATCGCATTCCTTTTCACCATAATGGAAGGCTAATATCTGTAGGTAGTGAAAACTACTGCTAAAATCATAATTTTGTAATGCTTTGACTTCGGGAAATCTGTCTAACTGAGAACAAAAACTCTACGAATCTCTCCAAACCAACAACAACCACCTCATGCAAAATTGCCTTCTTAAAGAACCGTTCTTGCTTGTCTTTCACGCCAAATAAAAGCGAATTAAAGACTTCATTCATTATACGAGAGTATTAATTATCGAGGTACATATGGCCGAAATGAAACAGCATTTAATATCGACTATTTTGGAAGGATTTTATAGCCGCCCGGCAGATAGTGAAAATTATAGCCCTATTCCGACGCCAATGACAAAACTCAACGCAAATTGATTTTAAGCGCTCTAATGATGACAACTATCGTTGTTATTGTTGTGACATA